ACACCGTAAGAATTGGCTACTTCTCATGTAATATGAATAAGTGTGAATACGGTTTTGAAATCGATTATTCTTCGCTCTTCAATGTTGGATGTGAGCATTTCGGAGAAATGGGATCGGGAGAATATACTATCGAAGCTACACATTTAAAGAGAACATATCAAACGTTTCGATGCTTTGGGCATTTGATATCCAAATTGGAAATAGGAATGAAGGAGACCAGCATTCATTTCGATCGCTTGATGTTTTACATAAAGGAATACTGCGCCGAATCACTCACTCAATTAGCATTTTTAATAATACCAGATGGATCAATGATTCGCTTTGTGAAACCATTTCCAAACATTCATACGCTTTATTTGACAAATGTTTTAAATGTTTCATTTGGTGAAATATTCCCAAACCTGAAGCATTTAAAGTATATTGGTACAGTTACTGGATTCACTAGCATCGAATCAGAAATTCCAAATTTAGAGCATTTGGAATTATATGTTGGATTAGACCTAGAAAACGTATTACTTCGAAAAATTGGGTCAAGTCCAAAGATAAGAACGTTGATAGTTCCAGGGGACGCCATTTATCAAGGCATAAACGAAATTCTTCCAAATCTCAAAGTTTTAAGGTTACACGGATCTTGTCTCGGACTCAAAGTATCTTTTGGAGTTGAGAAATTCCATTTTGCAACTGTAAAACGATTTGAAATGTGTAACTACCCAAGTAGATTCGAAGGATTACCATTTTCATTTGATAATCTAGAGGAATTTATCATTGAAGCAAGAGCACTTGAATCAAGACATGAAGAAGAATTGTACGATTTCATCAGCGAACATCCATCTATAAAAAAACTTGGAACGTGGATTTTTGAGGTGGATTTATTGAGATTAATGGATATGTTGCCATTGCTGGGAGAATTCGATACGAGAAGCGATTATTCAATTCATGACGTTGCTCGTTTTATGAATGTGAAGGAATCACTGAAAAAAATGACTTTTTATTTGATAGACGGTTGTGATATCGATATTCCTGATATACAGGCTCACTTAAACGATAAATGGCATGGTATAAGATTACGAGATGAATATGGTCCGTTCGAATTTACACGGATTTTGAAATAAAATATGAATCTGCTGATAAGAAAGAAAAACTGACGATGAAATGTTCAATCATGTTTCACTGCAATGTCAGCAATTGCATTAATCTACGAACAAATATTATGTATTTTACTCAGAATATTAATAAGTATGGAAATATAAGATCGAAAGATTTTCCGTAACAACAGAAGTAAGTCGCATTGTTCGAACAAAGAAACGGAGAAAATGTCGTCTCAACACGGTATCTCCTCAATGATACGTCTTTAGTGAATAAGTTTAGCAATATGAATAGAACCGTAAGAACAGTACAAATTCGGCTATGATTTTAATACCTTTTTAAATAAAAAAATCCAATTTAGAAAACACTTGAACGGAGCCATTATTTTCAATTTTTTTTCAAACAGCAGTTTTACAAATGTTCACGTATTCCAACCATGTGTTGCATGTGTAAGGCAACCCTGCATCGATTGTCATCTGTCAAAGTGGTTTGTTATGAGTTCGTTAATGTTCAAAAGCAGTTTGTCAATGACAACCACTTTCTCAGATTTTGTTGAAACATTTTGAGTTTATTCGAGAAATTCATCCGTTTTTTTCACCTGAAATTGGGAATATTTAGAAGCAAAATGAACGTGGTGATAAGTGAGAAACTAATCGAGGATTCGCATCGAATTGACAGCGGTATTCGTCGGCTACAGAATAAATTGTCGGACGTCATCGATGGCATCACCGACAACAATGCTGATCCAGGGGCAATCTTACAGAAATACAAGGATGAAATGACCGAAATCCAAACTGATTTGATGGAATTTTTGGAGCAGCAAAAGGAATTCGATCGTACCGTTCACAATGCGGAAAAAGAGATCTCGGCGATGTCCGAAGAAGTAAAGAAAATGCTGACTCAACACAATATCAATATCGATGAGAATGATCTCGAAAAAGGCCCAGAATAAAAGCCAAAAATTATCACATGATTCAAATCAAAAGTATACTTTTTGTTTCATCAAAATCAAAAAGTCTTCTCTGCATATTTTTATGAATAAAACACAATAAACTTAAGCGTAGAACATGCTGCATTTTTATTCATTTTCTTTCCTAGGTGTTTGTGTTTCACGAATAAGAATAGTAACAAAATAAATGGAAGCGTATGAATAATACAAATTCGACGAAATTCCATTCTTCTTGCTCTCTAGGTTTTCTTTTGTTTTTCAGTTTGATTTTCTTGTATGAGAAAGAAGAACGAGTCTAATTTCTACATGAATTTAATTAAGTCTTTGAAGCAGTCGAAGTGTGAAAAGGATTGTGAGGAACAATTTTGAATATACTTGATGATCTATTTGATTTCAAAAACGATTTGTGTGGGAACTTGAATTCTAGAAATTGACATTTGAAAACTGTGAGGTATTACCCAATAAGTTTGAATAAATAGAGTTAAAATTTGGTAATAACTTGGTGCATTTTTTCCCAACACATGTGATTCAAGGGACAACTCGCTTTCTATGCACACACACATCATATGACTCTAATCATATATCCGATTTTTTGTGTATGACCGAAATGTGATTTCGAATTGAATCCACTTTTAATGAACAGATTTTTCCAAGTCCAACATGTTCAATTTTTTGCAATCGATCATGTTTGATATTGGGAAAAAAGTGTTTATTCTTAATCGTGGATTCAACCGTTGAGTTGCCATTGAAACCGTGCAATTTCTTCGAATGCGGCATGAAATAAATTTAGCAATTTAAAAAGAGAGAGGGAACACGTATTATTCAGTGACGGCTTCGTTTGTAGCTATGACTTCTAGAGTAGCTTTTTTCTCTTGAATATTTATCACGTTTGTGGCTTCCCTGGCTTGATTTGCTTGTGCGATCATCGGAAGATGAGCGTTCCCGTCGTGAATGCTTTCGCGATCGATCCGAGTGACGTGAGTAACTACTACGATCACTGCTGCTGCTCGAGCTGCGTCGTCGATGAGAGGATTTTTTGTGTTTTCGGCTTGACGGTGAACGGCTACGATCTCGTTTACTACGATGATGACTCGATTTCGACGATGTATGTTTCGAACGTTTACGCGACGAATCGGAATCATCACTGTCTCTTCGATCACTTTCATGCTTTTTCACGTCGCCAGACAGTGGCTTGAACTCTGAATGACTCGGTCGAACACTTGACGCCGTAACACTGGCCATCTGAGTATTCGCCACATTGTAAACCAAACCCTTTGCATCGCTGAAACGACTGCCCTTTCGCTCTGATTTGGATACTGAAAGTTTAAAGAGAACAAAATGTAATTGACATAGTAAAATGGAATTGCTAATGCAAAACATACCATTTGGCAACTTTTGGGCATCCCGTTGAATCTCAGTATTTTCATTGCTTTTTTGGGTATAGGTAGCAAATGGGACGGTTGGCAACTGACCCTTTGATTCTTCCACTTTCACCGAGTCATCTTTTTCTAGCCACTGTTTCTCTCTTTCTTCCAGGTCTGCCAAATATGATTCAATCTCCTCTGATTTACTCTCAAATGCCATTTTTCGTCTTTGGATTGCTTTCTGTGAATGAAGAAATGATTATAATTTAGAATTGATACTTATTATATCCATATATTCAATATGTAGAAACATTTTCAGATTCTAATCCATGATTATTTTGCCATTTTTTCAAAATTTCCCAATAAAAGCATAATTTCAAATTTATGCATAAATCTAACCTTAATCTCAGCATCCGAGTCATTATCGCTGGTATTGTGCTCGTTGGTTCTCTCTCCATCGGAGTCACTGTCATCACCGGATCTCGATGCATCGCTGTCATCATACACGACCAATCCTAGATGTAAACATACAATAAACAATATTATTATTCATGCCATTCGAATCTGTTTGCACTATCGTTCAATTCTCAGTCAAACGAACGGCAGAAAACTGCGACCTCCGCAAACTATGTTTTCTATTTCTTCATTTTGGAATTTCTATTCATATTTCGTTTTAACCAATACCGCATGAATTATTTTCGAATGGATAATAACAATAAAACGAGCAAATTGGTTTTAGTTGACATGACAGTAGTTTGAAATGCGATTAACTTACCAAGTGCTGGAGCATTTGCTGTTAATGCGTTCTTTTGAACGGATTGAGCTTTACGACCTAAAATTTAGATCATTAATTTGGACGAAAAACCAGTTTCATATTACATTTGATAAATTGAAATACGAAAAATTGAATACAAAGAAAAATAAAATGAAATTGCAAATTTCGGTTGTTTTTTTTTGCAACAAAACCCAATCTGACTGGATACAACAATTTCGAGGTTCTTGGTTAAAAAAGAGTTTCATTTCTAACAATAAACAATTAAATTTATTCGAAAAAAAAATCTGTTTTTTTTGTTGTTGTATAGAAAAAACAAATCGTAAATTGTTCTGACCTTTTGTTCGTACTTTACTTAATGTGTCTTGAGCAATAGCGTAAATTTCTTCGTTTGTAACTTCCAACAGAATTTCGGTTAGATTTTTTCGTACCGAAAGCATCTAAATTGTTTTGTTTGTTTGTTTTTGTTTTTTCGGATGGAAAAAGTGGAAAACCAAAAAAAAAAGAAAAAAAGAAAAGAAAAAAATATATGATTGGCAACAATTACACGAGCAGCGAATCGTTTTTGTTTTTGATGGAAAGCGAACCACTATAGATTGTTGGTCGCACAATTCACAAGCGAATCGGATTAAATTGTCGCTTACAATTTCGGTTAGAATTTCGGCTTTTGAACGATGTGGCTTAAATGTTGGCACTGTTGTTGAATCGTAGCCCGTTGCATTTGCACTACCACTTGCACTTGTACCCACCGTTGTTCGCTCGGCCATCACCATCACCTTTGCTTTTGGCATTTTTTCACTATAGTCACTGTTTACCGTATCGTCATTGTCCGATTCAGAGTCACTATCCTGTGGTTAGGTAATCGTTTGATGCAATTCGTATTTTGTTTTGTGTTTGTTTATTTTGTGATATTGTTTTTTTTTTTTTGGTTTTCATAGGGAAAATGGGGGAAAAGTTACGTATCGAAAGACAAAAATTGTGATTGAAATGAATAAAAGAGAATGTTTTCGGAGTATTGGGGTATATAGAACAAGAAAAAAGAATGTAGACAAAGAGAATTGAATAAGATAAAGAATTGCATACGAATTTGCTTTTGGCGGGTAATTTGGGCGATGATTCATTCGCATTGAGTTGCATTAAGAGATTTTGTTCGATAAGCTTTTCCTGTCGTCGCTTTTCGTCTCGTTCCTTCATCTCACGATCTCGTTCGGCTTGCTTCAATTTCTCACGCTCCATTTTCTCTAAGCCATCTCTGCATTGTGTATTTGTTTGTGTCATTTGCATATGGCAATTGTGTTTCACACGTACGCGCACAATAAATTGTCGCACGACGACACAGTCAAGACGACGATGACGACGACGACGATGTGGTAACATAACAATAACAGAAGGTCAATAAGAATAAATGTACGGCTCACGTATCGAATTTAACTAATATTCAGGATGATGTAACAGTTTTTTCATTACCTAATCCATGCTGGTAGGGTTTTACGCTGTGCCGCATCTAGTGGTGGCGTTGCATTTAAACCTACTTGTTCTAATTGTATACCTGATTTTGAATTTGCATCCAATCCATGCACTTTCAATTCATTGTTTGTATGGACGAATGGCGTTGCATTCGTCGCCACGACGGCTGACGATGGGCCCGTTGACCAGACTTTGCCCGTTTGCTTGGCATTATTGAATACTTGACCTGACACATACCCATCGTTCGGTTGATGGGCGCGTTGTGATTTCGAATTATTCGAATTCGTTGAGTTCCAGCGATTCCCTGATTCTAAAACAAAACATTCATTAGCATTGAGCACATAGTCGCATAAATTGTTGTGAATATTGATTTTTTTTTTTACTTCTGTTCCAGTGTTTCGAATGTTGTCCGCGTGAATTCGACTCGTTATTCCAATTATTCGTTTGGAATATATTGGTTGGCGGTGGTGGTGCGATGACATTGACAATGCTCTCATTTGTCTGAGTTATTTGTTCGTCTTCATGTTCCACTTCCATTGGTGCCTCACCTTGTTCCTCATAATCGGTGATTATGTTGGAAAATCGTGGCGGAGGCGGTGCATTTGGAACTGGATCATCGGCATCAACAACACACGTTTCTTTCATATGAATCCATTGCTGGGCCAATGCAGCCCAATCTACTTTGTCCAAATCGATATTTTGATATGCACTTTGCGACATCCACTGATTATCACCAACAATCGGAACATTTGTGGGTGCTAAATTGGATGGTGCGCCCATCGGCGGAAATGCACCTTTATGTGGATACATTTGCACTAATCACGGTATTTATTTAACACTAAACGTTAACAAAATCAATTAGATACTCATTTAATTTGGTTTGCAATTGGTTTGGCTTTTTCTGCGCTGAACCATGAATATCTCTGAGCACTTTGTTTGTGTAATTTTTAATAGCATTCAGCCATGTTTGACCTGTCAAATGCTATCGAACCAGGGTTGCCATGTCAATACGTAATGCGTATACACGAAACAACGAAACTAAAACAACAATTGTCAGTAGATAGACAAAGAAAATATTGAAAAAAAAACTGATATTTCAATGAAAAATTCATTTGATAATGTATTTAAAGAAACAAATTGATTTTATCCCAATATGCGCTAGAAGAAAGCTACGAAAAAAATCATTACGTTCGATTTGTCGTAAGTATTATTATCGAACCCTGAATCATTGACCGCACAGCTGTTTACTACTACCAGTCATAATGCAGATAATTTTGAACGTCTGGCAAATTTCTTTTTCCAACAATTACAACACACTTCAGAATGATGCAGTCGTAGCTCTCACCTTGCAATTGTATACTATGATGCTATTGTGTACGATGCAAAATTAATTGGCTTGTCTTGAATAATTACTCTCCAACACTGACGGCCTGAATTGTTTACACTAAAAAACTCGATTCGATGCGAAAGAAAACATGACCCCATGCAAAACATCAGAATTTTATTACATTTTCATTTGTTTTATTTGTTTCTTTCGTAAAAAA